ATCGGGCCTGCTGACCATGCCTGTGGCTCTGTGTCCGAGCCCGGGCCTCAGCTATGTCCGGAAGGGGGTCTTGGAGGCCACGTGGGGGACTTGGACCAGTTGCCCTGTGGGACTGAGACACACACTGACCAGGCGGAGCTGGAGCACGTTGCAGCCGTCGGGGAAGCTGTGGCTTTTGAAGTTACCAACGGGTGCCATGAGTTGCCTCAGGGACAGGAGCGGATATTTATTCAGACTCCTGACGGACTTATCTTGCCCCACCCAGGCCCCGTAGTGCCTGTGGAGGGGGACACTGTCATAGTGGCCAACGCAGAGGGGCCTGCCCTGCAGACCGGCCGCCTGGAAGGGGTTCCTCCAGATTCTGGGGAGGCAAGCCTTCACAGTGAAGTTGGGTCAGTCCTGCAGTCCTAGAGTTGTATGTATTTTATCCAGAGAAGGTCTATTTCAAGTAATGTATATTTTTCTAATGTGAATACTGATGCAAATGAATCTTTTATTTATAAAGAAATGTCTTTCCATCCCGCTGCCGACCCTTTGCTACATCTTGCTCATTGTGATGATGGCAGATGTGCTACCTGATCGTGAATTCCCCTGACACATCTCACTCTTAGGAGCCTCTGACGCCACTGTAGTTAATACCGCTGCACTATTACCTGACTGTCCCCCTGCTCTCCAGTCCCCCAAAACTATGTCCCCTTTCCCCTTGGTGGTATATTGGCTTCTCACCAGACTTGGTCCATACTACAAGCTGCTTCTGGGTTCAATAAAAAGTCAATAAGTAAGCTTGCCATTTGGGCAGCATTTTATTGGGAAGTAGAAAGGAAAGTGTCTACTTACTTCTTATGGGTGAGGAAATCGAGGTGTAAAGACAGGAGCCCCAGTCCTTGAATGTCCCACTTGTGAAGTCACTTAACAAGGCCTTTTTTTTCCCACGTTTTCTGTGGCTCTCCTATAGGAGAGAACAGGGGGGCCATTTGCCCACACTCAGGTGGGAGCATCAAGAAGGCGCAGCGGTCCTCTCCCCTCACTGGCAGAGCTGGGGGTTGGGGGCTGCACCTTGCCCTGGCGCGGTGCTCCTTCCGGGGAAGCTTATCCTTGGGGCCCGCATTTCCTACAGCCCTCCCAGGGACGGCATTTTTCTGTCCTCTCACCTGATCTCAAAGCAGGTCCGACGGGAACAGAAGGGCAGGCGACCTAGGACTGAAGGAGCAAGCCACAGCCACCCAGGAGCGCTGGGCTGGCGGCTCAGGCCATGGGGTGCCCTCAGGAGTCCACAGGCCCATGAAACCAGCCTGAGTCCCATCCCTGGATCCTGGAGCCTGGGGGTTAGGATTGTGACACATGACTTTGTGGGGACCATGGCACCTCTCAAGTAAAACTGAGCTGCTGGGCATTCAGAAGTCGAGTGGCTTCACTCCAGAGGTGGTCCAGACCCAGGCTGATTCCTCACCTCAGGCGGCCCTCTTCCCAGAGGTCTCAGAAGGCTCCCTGCCCTTGTGTGTCTGCTCCGTCCTCCAGGACGTGAGGAGGAGCAGGAGGAGCACACAAAACTTAAGGGGCGTGATCTGGACATTGCACACGTGGCCTCTGTGCACATCTCATTAGTCACGTGGCCACACCTGGCTGCTAAGGTTCTGAAACCTAGTCCTAAGCAGGTACCCATGCACCAGCTGACACTTAAATGGAGAATCAATACTGAAGGACAACCAGCCCAAGCCCTCCACCCCCATGGTGGTCCAGGTTGCCATGGGCCAGTCTGCAGCGGCAGTAGCAACAGCTCCAGAACCTCAGCAGCTTAAGAAACAACGGGGTATGTGTTTCCTGCCCACGAGACATGTCACTCATAGGTTGGTGGGAGGGCTCTGTCTCATTGCGGCCAGGCGGGGGACCCAGCAGGGCAGCCATGTCTCAAACACTGCTGGTGGCCCCGCCGGAGGGGGCGTGCGCCAGGAGAGGCTAAACCCACCATGAGATGCACTTCAGGGGCCAGAAGTGGCCATGTGGCCCCACCCAACTGCAAGGGGTTGGCAGCGCAACTTTCCATGGGCCAGGAAGGCAGGGCTCTGGGAACACTCGGTGAAGAGCGTGATGGCCGATCAGCTGTCGGCATGTTCTCACCCATGACGTGCGAGTGTTCTTCAGGCTGAGCTGTGAGTGGTTCTTTTCATGCTTCTGTCTAAACTTCCGTCTCCTGGAGACACATGTATGTATTTGTTAATTAAATGTACTTACGAGTGCGTCTCGAAACCCTCCCCCAGTTGTGTGGTCAGGCCACCCAAGATGGCTGTTCTCTTGCTCTCTGTACGTCTCCTGCTAGACCGGTCCCTGCTCACCCACAGCCTAATCACCTGACTGGCCTTCCCTCTTAATCACAGTCTAGTCAGTAAGCGCCTACCTACTCCACCCCAACTAGTGACTGTTTTAATCTTTAGATCAGAATCTCCACCAAGATAGTTTATCAAAGAGGTGAGGGGCCTGTTCCCCTGCTGGCTTCCCTGGTAACCAATGGGCCAGTTCCCCCAATAACTGATAACCTCCCCGTCCCCTGAAGGTCAAGACTGCCACCATGTCCTGCCACTGGCAGCTGTACAAGGTGGGGTGTTGCTCCGGGACCTTCTTTCAAACGTGTAAGGTCCTGCACCCATTAAACCATTCAGGTCTGTGACTTGGGCTGACTCCCAGATCCCGAGTCTAGGCAAGCACAGGGCTCACAGGCCTGCCTGGTGCAGCCCGACACCAGTCCCATTCTGAGTTTTTGTGGATTCTACCTGTTAACATTCTTTTACTATTTGGCAAGGTTTCTAGAGGCAGAGAAAACACCTGGTGATCAATCCACTGTGTTGAGAAGCCCCATGCGGGTTCTCTGAAGACTTCATTGTTCCTTTCAGATAGAAACTGTCCTTCGGTTGTGTAATGACTTTGGAACTCAGCAAACTCAATAGCCAAGAGCTCTTCCATCAATTTGACGCCTCTTCTGTTTCGTGAGGGATCCCTGGGCTAATGCCACTGGAAACTTGGCTCTTCTACTTGTTTGTAAACTTAGCAGTATCGATCCTTTCCATTAGTTCTCCCGGGCAACCTGGCTGTCCGGAGATGAGGCATCAAGAACACAGGAAATGTCCTAGAAAGGCCTAGAAATCCTCCAGTGTCTCCTATGAAGAACATTTATCCTTTAAGTACCACCCCCTCCACAGACTCCAAAATAAAACTGCTAACAGGGGTGGGTTACCTCAGTGGTAAAGCACGGGCTCGGCATGCACAAGGTCCCAGGTTCAATCCCCAGGACTGCCGTTAAAAAAAAAGTCATAGAAGAAAAGTGTTATAAAACTGGTATCGGACCTTGTGCCTCTGGGGGCCTGTCCCACCCGTCTGGGCCCACAGCTCAGACAGCAGGGACCTCGGGGCGGGACGCCACTTCCAACAAATGCTAACCAGGTGGTTTCCGGACTGCAGGACATCTGATGGACTACTCGTATGATGGCCAGATTCTAATAAATACGGCAAAGGAGAGGAAAGAGAAATTCTAAGAAATGTTGCCTTTAAATGTTTTAGCTATGTCAAGTTACACAGTGAAATATCCGTTCCCTCAAAATACATCCTGTCAGAAGGTCTTATATTTTGGGAATATTTTCATTCCTTCCCTGGGAAGCACTTGTTGCTGGGGTGCTAGGACTTCAGCTTCATGAGGCTGCATCCCACATCACGCAGCATGAAGTTTCTTAGATTTGTTTCTGGGGAGCAATGGTAGGACTGACCCCTGATATTTGTTTTTATGCCAGAAGAATGACATGGAGGACACTTCACTTGGCCTGCCACATCCTCAGAACAAAAATAGAGACAATTTTTGGTATCACCAAAATAGTTTCAAAATAGTTTTCACCACCATGGTGCCATTCTGAGTTACTCAGTTAACTCCATGGTATTTAAAACATGACTTGTAATTACAAAACTAAGACAGTTCCACAACAATTTAAACAATACAGAGGGGAACATGCACAAGGTCCTGGGTTCAATCGCCAGCACCTCCACTTAAAAAAAAAAAAATCACACACAAGAACTTAATTACCTCCTCCCCCAAAATAAAAAAATAAAAAATAAAATAAATCATACAGATAGGTTTAAAATATACATATTAAACCAGGGATTGTTTATATAAATGTAATCTATGTAAAATACACCTGATTTACCAACACAGGATCAAGTGACTTCACGCAGAGGTCTTAACAGGTGACAGATTCACAATGGGCAGGTGACGCGGAGTGGCGGGCAGCATGGGAAGACCTGAAAAAGGTCAGCAGGTGTCCGCGCCAGAGCCCAGGGTCTGGCGCCGGGTAGGCACGGGGAGTCATCCCAGGTCTGATGAGTGCCACCGTAGGAGCTACAGGAGCTGTGGTCCAGAACCTGGAGGCTCTCATGTGAAGCCGTGTTGGGGGTCACAGTGCTCGGTGCCCGGTTTCCAGCAGCATGCTCTCCAGAAGCAGCCTGCTGTGGCTCTCCAGGTAGGGCTGGTGCAGCCACATGGACAGATAGCTCAGGGTGAGGTCGCGGTCTGTGGAGTGCGCGAGCTCTTCCACAATGGTGCGCTTCAGACGGAGCTCCCACCGGTACATGTTGGAGAGCTGGCAGGAAACCTCGTCTGAAACACACGTAAGTCCCCCTTTAACAAGAGTAATTCATGGAAGCACCCTTGACTGGGGACAACTGCCACCTTGAAAAGCTCCTTGTCAAAAGCCAGAATGAGCAACAGCACTGACAGAAGGAGGACTCAAGCTGGTGCAGATTAGCATCAGATAACAGGGTAAGTATCATGACATTAAGAAGTACCTGTTTCTCCTCACACTGGCCAGGATGGCCACCACTAAAAGCTCTACAAATGATAAATGCTGGAGAGAGTTTGGAGAAACTGTTGGTGGGAAAGTAAATTGGTATAGTCACTATGGAAGTTCCTTAAAAAACTAAAAATAGAGTTACCCTACAATCCAGCAATGCCACTCCTGGGCATATATGCAAAGGAAACTCTAATTCAAAAAAATACATGCACCCCAATGTTCACAGTAGCAGTATTTCCAACTGCCACGACATAGAAGCAACCTAAATGTCCACTGACAGCTGACTGGATACGGAAGATGTGGTGTATATATTCACAATGGAATATTATTCAGCCATAAAAAATGAAATAGTGCCATTTGCAGCAACATGGAGGGACATAGAGATGATCATATTAAGCGAAGTACATCAGACAGAGAAAGACAAATATCCTATATCACTTATATGTGGAATCTGAAATGTAACACAAATGAACTTATTTACAAAACAGAAAAAGATTCACAGACAACGAAAACAAACTTATAGTTACCAAAGGGGAAGCAGGGAGGGATAAATTAGGAGTTTGGGATTAGCATATACAAACTATTATATATAAAATAAACAATAAGGTTTTACTGTATAGCACAGGAGACTATTCAATACCTTGTAACACCTATAATGAAAAAAGAATATATATATGTATTACTGAATCACCATGCTGTGCACCAGAAGTTAACACAACATTGTAAATCAACTCTACTTCAATTGGGGAAAAAAAAAGTACCTGAAAACTTTTCTCAATTCTTAAGCATCTGTAATCATTATAAAAAGATTCACCTCAAACTGACAATATTCAATAAACACATTACACTAGGTGACTTTACCCTTTTCTCCCTTATTTAAAAGTCAGGTCTCAGATCAGCATCAAATATCTTAGTCCTTCTTTTGAACTAACAAAGCTAAAATAGCCCTTACCTCACAGAGCTTATTTAACTCTGGAGTCTGTTTTCTCAGCAGTCTTCTGGGGTGTGGGCTTAAGTGACCACCATTTACTTTTTAATTAAAACAAAACAAAAAGCAAAAACCCATTAAAAAAAAAACCCAAATGAGGTTTCTGCCTCTGCAGAGGAGGCAAATTCATCCTGCCCCCTGGCTTTACAGGGCCAACAAAGGTGACTTACACATGGGTCTCTAATTACGATTTAATATTCTTTGCTGATTCTTAGGTAATTAAAGCCAAGAAGAAATGCTCATTTTTAGATGTCTCCATCTCCTTCCCTCTCAGTGGAGCCTCTTTAATTGAATTGCAAAGCCTGTCAGCTTTTCAGAGGGCCAGATCTAAATGATACCAAATGCTCTCATAACCTCCCCCTGAAAATCAATGCAGAAAGAACTACTTACAGAAACGGGCTGTGGGCCACGTGTGGAACAGCAGGGGCCGCTTCCTCTCCTCCCCGTAATGGTAATTTTCTAGTTCACAAACTCCCTTGGTAGTTGAAGACAGCTTTTCCATTTTCATCTGTATTTTGGTCTGAAAAGATATTAATTTAGAACATGAGACTTTTTTGAAATCTGCTATCTTAGATTCAATAACTCGAAGATTTTCAAACTAAGAAATGTAAATTTGTTGAGACTGTAAGTCTAATAATTCAACACCATTAACTCCATGTGCAGCAAATTTCCAGGGAGACACAGGCTGAGAGTTGCTATGAGTTCATTAATTTGGATGAGTTCGGTAATAAATCCCAGATTTTCAGTGTGGAGAGGAGAAAGCTCACTGAGTCACACTTATTTAAGATTTCCGAGCATCACTAATTTTGTAGCACCAAAGACCTAGAGGAATCACGAGGCAGGCTCTTGCGTTTATGGGATAAAAGATGGGAGAAGAGGCACTAAATGAGCTCACTTCTGACTCTTTTATGAGCCACCCTGGGGTTTACAGAAACCTCTTTGAGGGTTGGTTTCCCTGTTTATAAAATGGTAATAATGAAAGGCAGCCCTGCACACTTCACATGGGAAGGAAGTGGTGAGAACTTGACACTGACGGTGCCTCCACAGACGCTGGGCTCTGTGCTGCTGGCACAGATGGTCTGACAAAGTGCCTGCTTCCCCAGGGAGCCGGGGGACCAAGGTAGTATTTGTGAAGCACCTGCTGGATTTATGTATGAGTTTGTTAAAGAAAACAAATGGGTGGGGGTGGGAGAGTATAGTTCAGTGGTAGGGCACATGCTTAGCATGCACAAGGTCCTGGGTTCAATCCCCAGGACCTCCATCAAAAATAAATAAATAAATATATCTAAATAAATATATCTAATTACCCCCAACCCCTCCCCAAAATGGGCGAAGTAACTAAGATTTCGAATTTAAGTAGCATAGGTCTACCAAGAGCACAATTCTAAGTCCTAAAGTACAGTTTGCTTTATGTATCAATCGTCAGAAACTTAATTCCTTGTACTTGGTCCTTTAACCACCCTACAGTTCTGTCTGAAGCAGCATGCACTAAATTTAGCTAACATGAATTTTTAAAGGACTGTACTTTTTCCCAAATCTTTTCAGGTTCGATTTCTCACTTGGCCCAAGCCCAGGAGGCAGGACACAGCATGTCCATGTTCCAGCTGCAAAAACTCTCAAGGCGGTCAGGATTGAAGAAGGATGAGTTCAGGACTTCAAACCAGGCTTTCTGGCCCCAGGTCTCTTGACACCCAGTTCTAAGCTCTCTCCTCTGCATCTGCAGCAGCTCCCCGACGCCACCTGATGCTAAGAAAGGCCAGTACAGATCAGGAGAGCAACAAAAGGCCCGGAGGCTTGTCACCAGGCCATGGTTCCAGCTCTGTTCTGGGGCTCACTCAGCAATGACCATTTCTCAGTCACACGTCAGCCCTGAAGTGATGGCAGGTGAGCATGCTCTCAGTGCCGCACTGTCACACGTCTCCTCCCACAGCCAAGAGGCCATGCTGTGAAACGTTTGTCCAGCTCAGCGAAAAAAGGTGCCTCTGCCCTCCCAACTAAGGTCAGATTCCTTAGAGACACTTAAAGCCAACAACCTAAATGTCCATCGACAGATGACTGGATAAAGAAAATGGGGTGTGTGTGTGTGTGTGATGGAATACTACTCAACCATAAAAAAGAATAATATAATGCCATTTGCAGCAACACGGATGGATCTGGACATTATCATACTAAGTGAAACAAGCCAGAAAAAGAAAGAAAAATTCCTTATGATATCATTTATATGTGGAACCTTAAAAAAATGACATAAATGAACTCATTTACAGAACAGAAATAGGCTCACAGGCATAGAAAACAAACTTATGGTTACCAAGGGGGAAAGGGGAGGGGAAGGATAAATTGGGAGTTTGAGATTTGTAGATAACATACTACTATATGTAAAATAGATAAACAACAAGGTCCTACTGTATAGCACAGAAAACTGTATTCAATACCTTGCCTATAATGAAAAAGAATATGAAAAGGAATACATATATGTATAACTGAATCATTATGCTGGACATCAGAAATTAATACTTTGTGAACTGACTGTACTTCAACTAAAAAAAGTAAATAAAAAACAGGAGGAAGTTAAAACATTAAAAAAAGAAAAAAAGACACTTAAAGCCAAGTCTGGGAAACTATTCTCTCTGAAGACTAGAGGAAAATAGAAAAAAAATATCAATTATTCTTACAACATCAAATTCTGGTTTTGAACATACGGCTGTGAATTAATTTCCAAACCACTTTAAAAAGGAATAAATTGGAGCAGAGAACTTTGGTGTCTGACAATTAGCACCCAGATCTTGGTTTCTAATAGGATTCGCCAAAAGAAGGAACCAAGGCTCCTTGGAGAAATGGCTGATTCTAGGATTGAAGCAAGAAATATACAAGATGAGCCCAGAGCACCCTAGGATGCCAGAAAGTGTTCAAAAAAACCAGAACAAAACCTCACAATGACGGGCATATGTCAGAGGGACATGGGAGCCAAAGCAGGAACAACCTGAGAAACAGCATAAAGCACACCCAGATTACAGCTCAAAGCGTGTGAGGTGAATAACTCAGAGAGCCTGTACTGCTAGGAATCACTGACTGAACAATTAATAAGCAGCGGACGCAGCTGCTCCACCTCCAAGAGGAAGAACACAGCTCCCCGTGGGCTGCAGGGTGACTTCCTACAGTGTGGAAAGTGGGCAGGGTCACTTTGCAGAGGGGGCACCTGACACACTCCACAGCCAGGCGATCAGGGTGAACACCCACAGCAACACGTCATGTTGACAGTGTGATGTCTATGATGTGGCAAGAGGTGCACCTTCCTCGGGTCTTCCTCTGAAACCCGCAACCCCTCGAACCACACGAAAAACATCAAGTAAATCCCAACTGAGAGCCAGTCTACAAAATGCCTCCTCAAAGTCACAGCAAGAAAAACTGGAGAAACTGTCACAGCCAAGAGGAGCCCAAGGAGACATGAAGACTAAACTCACTGCACCGTCCTGGACCCGGCTCTCGGGACAAAAACGAAATCTGAACAAACTATACTTCATTTAATAACAGCGTATCAGTGCTGGGTCGTTACTGGTAACACCTGCCGAGTGACATGAAATTTTGATTGTCCTGCGTGAAACGCTAATGATGAACTGGGTTCGAGTGGGGATATTTTATGGGAACCCTCCGCACCATTTGCTCGACCTTTCTGTAACTCTAAAATTGTCCTAAAAATACATATTCTACTAGTTTAAAAAATGCATAAATTCACTGAAGCAGGAACCTGTGGGTTAGGGGCACCGCAGAGACCAAGGGGCCCACCTTTTCCCAAAATGCAGGATGCACGGGAGTGGGAGGGGAGCAGCGTCCAGTGGCACCAGCCACCCTGCCAGTGACCCCGAGCCCCGGAGCGAGGCTGCTCTGCCTGGTTCTTACCTTCCCGCTCTGGCCACCGGCGCCTCTCATCTCACTAACGCTTGCCTTTTTAAGAAGTGATACTTCTGTTAGGAAAGAGGGAGTAAGCCCCAGGCTCAGACCCTGATAGGGAAGAAGTATTCAGCTAACATTTTTTATAATATGATTTTAATTGTATTACAGAAAAATATACAGTAATTAAAAGCATATGGGATGTGATACAAATTGTGAGGTAGGATAAGAAGGAAGAACTGATCCAGTTCTGCCCAGGAATTGCTTCCTCAACCATCTGTGTAATTAACCTGCTGAGGAGCTGTCCAGTCCTTGGGGACAGGTTTCCCAGCATGGGCCACACCACTGTCTCCTCCCCCTTTGAGGCTTCCTAAACCAGACTGCCAGTTCCTTTTCTCAGGACAGCCTTTCGGCTGTGATGGCAGCTCTTAGGTCTACTGGTCCCTTGACTTGGGGCTAAAACCCCAGCTCTTCCAGTTCCTTCTCTCAGACCTGGCCTCTCCCTCTCCCTCTGGAAGCACCCAGCTGTCTCTGACCATGTAACTCGTGGGGCTGCTATGTCCTCGGCTCTCACTGACACAGCCCAGGCTTTATCCAAAGAGCTTGGGAACTCGGGTCCCCATGAGCACGCAGTCACCTAACCCAGCGACCACTGTCAGCTGGCCCGCCAGGCCACGCCCCCTCACCCTGGACCTGTGCTGTGGGTGGAGGGACAAGGCAGGGGCCCCGTGCGTCATCTGCTACTGCTCAGCCCCCTGAGCCACTGGCTGGATTTCCTGGACCTTGACTCCACCTCCTCATATCCCCCCTGGCCCTCTCTCCTCTGTGCGGGTCAGCGGGGCTGAGGAAGGGGTCCTGTGGTCCAGTCACTTACAAGAAGAGCCAAGCACAGAGGAGAAAAACCAATCTGTCCCTCTGGACCACCTCCTCCCCCCGCGCTCCCTGAGACACTTTTCCCTAAGGCAGTGTGCACATGCACAGAGTCATAAGTGAGGATGTATGAGCCAAAAAAAGAGCCAAGTGGCATTTAGAGACAAACTCCTTCCCAGGGTTTTTACATTTTATAAAAGTCACATTAGTAAGTGTCAAATTGTTTCTCATTCGAACACAGTTTTGGGGATTCTGTGAAATGTTTTATGCCAGGAAGGAACACAGGAGGCCAGGGACAAAGAGGTTCTGGCGGGAGCGTCGCCTTATCCAAACAACAGATGACAAGGCCGCCAGTGCTCATGCCAGCCGGCCAGGCCAGGCCGCGCGGCTCTGCTGGCTGAAGTGTTTCAGTGCAGGAGCTTAGCCAGCCAGTTTCTTCTCTTTCAGGCAGTGTGTGTACCTGCATTTTGTCCAAACAAAAACACGTGCCATAATCAAGTGGGTTAATTTGGGAAAACAAACAAAGGAACAAGCAAAATACACGTGGTCAGTTTTCAACTGATTATCTGCAAATTTCGATGGATTATTTTGCCTGTGTTAATTCCCGGCTCGTCTGCAAGTCTAGGTCTAGAACCCAACTACTAGAGACATAGCTGTGAACGTAGAGATAAAACAAAGAAAGCAGATCCCACGACGCCCACACACCTTAGCCTCCAGCCTTACCATGAGAGGGCCTTAAAATGAAGTTGAGGAAGACACAGGCCTGTCCTGTGACCTGCTTGAGCACCAGGTGGAGAGGGCTGGGTGGCGGACCAAGTGATTATCATGGCACAACCCGAAGGCAGAATCACAAAACAGACAGGGCAAGTACAAAATCTAATTGTTTATGTAGAGGAGACAAACAGCCCCATTAAGTATCAAAACATCCCAAAGACAGTACTGCATTTCAATCATAAAGAAAAGGCTAAATCACCAAATGGTTCTCAATGCACCATTCATTTTAATGTTTCAGAAACCATTACATCTTACAATCAATGTGATATTTGTTTATGATTATTATTTTTTGCAGGCGGAGGTAATCAGGTTTACCTGTTTATTTTGAACCCAGGACCTCATGCACACTAGGCATGTGCTCTACGACTTCTCCCCTCAGTGTTTAAAGTTAAAAGGACAGTGTTTCCTGAAAAACTCCTTTAAACCTATAGTCTGCCTTACAATAATGCAGATTGGGGGAGGGGTATAGCTCAGTGGTAGAGCGAGTGCTTAATATGCACGACGAGGTCCCGGATTCAATCCCCAGTCCCTTCATTAAAAAAAAAAGTAAGTAAATAAATAAACAAACCTAATTACCTCTCTCCCTACCCTCCAAATATAAACAGACTTCATGTGTTTGTGGGAAAGTTTTAGTTATCTCAGTTCAAAGATGTACAAAACCTGATTCCTGTGTCTGGCAAAGAGATGAGGTGTCATGTCCACTGTGGTGGCCAGTTTGGTGGGTACTGACATCCAGCCTTTAATTTATTAAACAAACGTTTCAGAGTATCCCTTTTGTGCTAGATCAGGGCTCATAGGCCAAATCCGGCCCAAAGCCTATTTTTGTGTGGCCCTCAAGCTAAGAATGGGTTTTACATTTTTAAGCGGTTGAAAAAAAATCAAAAGAAGAATATTTTGTGACGCATGAAAATCAGACAAAATTTAAATTTCAGCATCTGTAAATACCACAGCCAGAACCCCCTGGCCCATGTGCTATGCCCAAGCAGCATGATGGCCTGCTGCCCACAAGGCCTAAAATTCTCACCGTGGGGCCCTGGGAGCAGGTGAAATCGCTCCGGACAACATACAAGAAGGAAAGAACCAGGTGGAGGACAGCACCTTGGGGAACAAGATTTATGGGGCCTGTCGAAGCAGAGGGACCAACAGGGAAGGCAAGGAGGGAAAGACAAAAGCTGGGAGAAGGAACGCACAGCCCAGAGCACGGGAGGCTGCCAGGCACTTGAGCAAACCCAATGCCCGGATCCAGCGACTGGGCGCACAGGCGGTGGGTCTCTGCTTCTTACCAAACTGTCCAGGGTGACCTGCAGCTCCTCACACAGCATCTCCAGTTCCCTGTTATATTCTGGGCATATCTTTCCCGCATTTTCATCAGAAACCAGGCTGCTGGTCTCTAATTCTATCTTGTCTTTGCTCCTGGATGAAATGAAAAAGAGTGAGAACAAATACACTTCATAAGCCCATCTCATTTTGTTATGATAAACCCCAGAAAACTCAGTATCCACATAATTATGTCATCATGCTTCCCGTCATCGTGTTTAAGTGTTATTTACATATACAATCAACATGTCCATCCTTTAATCAAATTTGCACTAGAGTAAGTCAATTCCATCCAGCCTGGTGGCATCCTCAGGGAGTAAGACCCGGTCATACGTTCAGAATTCATCAGCTAGGAATGTGTTTTGTAAGGTGAAAATGCTGTGACCCACGGCACGTGAAATTAATCTAGTGGGGCCACGATCAACATTAAAGGAAAAAATGAAACATTAAAATGGAATAGGAAATATCAGAGTGCATCCTATGCGATAAGGGTAAGAACTGCTTCATGGACTTGCTGAGCAGGAAAAGGCAGCAGAGGATCACAGAACATGATGTGTTTGAGGGAACTGGCGAGAGCTAGGGGCCAAGGCCAGGAAGGTAAGACTCCAGAATCTGGCCGGCAGACAAAGATACCAAATGTATAATTACAACTTTGAGAAATTAAAAATATGTATATACAGGAAAGTGCAAAGACTAATAAAGCAAATCTTCTCATTAGAACTGGCAACTGCCAAGAGTTTGTTTTCTTAATTCCTTTGTCTTTTTAAAAGAAACTGCGAAGGGGAAACACACTCCCGGGTCTTCCTCTGCTTTGAATACCCTACTCCGCCTCTGACACCTGGTCCCCAAAGGCAAAGCAGGGCTCTCCACACCAAGCAATTCTCAGGTTCCCTGGACACCAGCTGGGCATCCTACCACATAGCTCAGTTCTGACACTGCCTACCGAGGATAGCATCAGTTCCCACAGGTTAAGGACTCTGTCTCACAAGACTGCCCAGGCTCAACTTCAGACGCCAATTACAAGTTCAGGTTGTTACCTGTGCTTCTGACAAACCGGCTGTCAGTTGGAGGTTCCCACGACCCCCTCCTTAGGTTCAATTAATTTGCTAGAGCAGTTTGCAGACTCCAGGAAGACACAGTGTACTTTCTAGATGATTGACTGGTTTATTACAAAGGATACGAAAGGACAGCTATATGAAGAGGGACACAGGGCAAAGTTTGGAAGGGTGTCGAGCACAGGGGCTTCGGTTCCTGTGGAATCTGGGGTGCACTACCCTTCTGGCACATGGAAGCGCTCTTGCTCCCAATCCGAAAGCTCTTCAAACCCCCGTCCTTTTGGTATTTTATGGAGGCTTCATGATGAAGGCATGACTGATTAAATGACTGGCTGTTGCTGATTAATTCAACCTCTAGCCCCTCTCTCCTCCCCTGAGGTGGGGTGGGGGTAGGGCTGAAAGTGCCAACTCTAATCACGTGGTTGGTGCCTGCATCCTTATGGGCTTTCCAGAAGTCCCCTCAGTAAATGAACTCAAGCGTGACTGAAAGGGGCTTGTTATAACCAGATACCCCTCTCACCTTTATCATTCTAGAGGACAAAAGAACAGATACTTCAGGAACCAGGGATAAAAGAACACATATTATAACAAAAGATTCTCCCATTGCTCTTATCCCCCAGGAAACCATAAGGCGCTGTGTGCCGGGAACAGGGACAGACCAAATATGTATTTATTATAAAATGCAGCATCACAAAGATGGAGTGCTATTTGCCTACTATCCCAAACTCTTTCTTCCTAGAGGATGCCGGTGTCATGAACTGAGTCTGTATTCCTCCAATTCTTTTTTTTAATGTCATACACAGATGTAACCACGATCTGTAGTATAATTCTGCATTTAAAGTATACATACACATCTATCAAAATTCATCAGATTGTACATCTGAAGTATGAGTAGTCTGCTGTACAGGAATTATACCACAGTAAGGGTGTGAAAAAAATGTACGGGGGGGGGCTATAGCTCAGTGGTAGAGTATATGCTTAGCATGACTAGGTCCTGGGTTCAATCCCCAGTACCACCATTAAAATAAATAATAAACAAACGTAATTACCTCCCCCAAAACAACAAAAAAACCCTAACAATAGAAATAAACATTTTTTAAAAAAATGTACACAGTTCTTACTTGCATGCAGCATTTCACCACTTGCTTTTTCACTTTATATAATTTAATCTATCTATGCTGCTAGAGAGGACCCTTCCCACCCTAAAAAGACTCCCAGGAAACTTCTGCCCACTCATTATGGGTGAAGCGCACAGAACATACTCCATGTGTACTTACAATAAACTGATTTTCATGTTGGCAATATTATTGGCGGTAGCAAAACCTCCATCATTGAGGGTTTCCCATTTCAGGATTAGATTATGCCAATCGGCCGCATTGTCCTTAATTTTCCTTGCACTGACAGATAAGACAGGTTTTTTGGGCGTTGTACTTCCAAGAGTCTTGGCTAATAGGGAGTAAAAGAAACATAACTGTCATGAAATTCATGATTATAGTTGTGGGGAAATGTCCTTATAACTGCAACCTTAGAACTATCTGAAACACCACATTAACTGGACAAATCATGTCTTGGAAATGAAGAAATCTGGATGAATGTGAAAGTTCCTGGAACAAGACAAGATAGGATTGTTTTTATTTTTATTTTTGAATTGTTTTTACATTTTAAGACTCACTAGATAACAGCTGAATCCTTTCGAAGCTTAATGGCACCACAAAGTTTTATCCGAAGTACGCTGACCACTTTCAAAGGTTGGAAAGGAGGGAAAGTCATGACTTTCTGCTAAAGCTCTTGGATGCCCCAAGATCCAGTCTCAGACACTCTGATGCCTTACATTTGTTCAGGGCTTTGTGGACCAGCAGCCCTCGACACTCCAACACACAGACAAGGCTGGACCCTAGAGATGCAGTGATGACCTCCATGCTCAGAACACCGGAGGACGCCCAAACTCCTTCCGGACCTGGCTCCCTCTCTGCCTCCACACTCATCTCAAACCCTACCTCAAACCCCCTCACTCTCTAGCTAATATCCACCACTGCCGACTCTGGAAAAGCCCTTTGCATGTGCAGTTCTCTCTTCTAGAAAGCGCTTTCCTTCCTTGGGCTAATGCTGCCTGCACCCCACGAATCCCCCAGATCCCAGCTTCTGTAGGAAGCAAATCCCAGACCAGCATAAGCCAACTCAGCTGTCTGGGCCATCCTAGTCCTCCTGTGCCCTCTCTTTTCTACTGAGGATCCTTCAAAGGCGTCTCACAGCCCACAGGATAAGATCCAAATTCTGAGGCCCCTTAAGGAATCCAGAACACACACTGGCAGTACAGTTTGGAGTCTAGACTCTGAAGACCGTACTGACTGGCTCTGAATCCCAGCTCTGCCATGCCAGCTGTGAAACCTTAGATAAGTTAGGCAAACTCTAAGAACCTCAAAGTTCCCATCTGTAAAATGAGAATAAAACAGATCTACTACATAGAGTTGATGTGAAGATTGGATAACATATGTCAGGTTGTGAGCGCCCAGCACATCGCAAGCATCCAACATAGTATGTGTTATCACAAGGGCCTCTCCAGTGTGTTTTTTCCCACCACTGCCAAGCAGAGAACTCATTTCTGATGCTACCTACAGGAGATGGAATCAGATCCCACAAGTTAGTGGCTCGTCCTGTAGGACCCCTCCTGACCCTCCTCTTCAGACGCCAGTCTCAAGTCCAGGTTGTCACCTGTGCTTGACCTACCAGCTATAGTCAGAGGTTCCCTAGGGTTGGATTACTTTGCTAGAGTGGCCCACTGAGAACTCAACAAAACATTTTACTTACTAGATTACTGGGAACAGCCAGATGGAAGAGACACATAGGGGGAGGTATGTGGGAACAGGTACAGTGCTTCCAAGCCCTCTCCCTGCATCTCCACATGTTCATCAACCTGGAAGCTCTTAGCATCCTTTGTTTTTGGGTTTTTATGGAGGCTTCATTACATAGGAAGGATTGATTATTAAATGATCGACCGTTTATAACTGATTTAACCTCCAGCTTCTCTTTCCTTGCTTGAGATGGGGGTTAGGGGGTGGTGAGAACTGAAAGTTCCAACTCTCTAACCACATAGTTGGTTTCCTGAGAACCAGCCCCCATCTTTCAGTTACATAGGGGCTCTACTTTTAAATATAGAATTGCTCTTTCATTCATTCTTTATACAACTAGCCAATATTTGCTGCTTGCCTACATTATGTCAGGCATGGGTGATGAAGTGATGGAACTAGATAGACCGGGACCATTTTCACGGAATTTACTTTCCACAGAAGAGGTGGATGAGGGGGAGATAAATTAGGAATTAAATTTGGATTAACAGATACACACTACTGTATATAAAATAGATAAACAACAAAGACCTACTGTATAGCATAGGGAATGATATTCAATGTCTTATAATAACCTAAAATGGAAAAGAATCTGAAAAAGAGTATGTATATATGTAATTCAATCACTTTGTTGTACACCTGAAACTAACACAACATTGTAAATCAACTATACTTCAATAAAAATTAAAAATTAAAAAATAAAGAAAGCTATTTGGCCCCAGAAAATTAAAAAAAAACCAACAAAGCAAACAAACAAACGAAACTAAGAGGAGGTGGGTAACAGACAACTAAGTGGTTGTCATCAGTTTAGATCATAAGTGCCACAAAATAAAAGAAGGTCTTGTGTTAGAGTGAACCCCTTAGAAGTTGTCATTCTGGCTGAAACCTGAATGATGAGAAGTCAACAGCATGGGCCTTAATATGAGAATGAGCTTGGTGAGTATGAAAAAAAGAAAAACACCTGTGAGGCTAGAATGAAACAGAGTCGGGGAGGTGGCCAGGCAGCGAGAACCTTTCAGGCCAAGATAAGAAGTCTGGATTTATTCCAAGTCAATGGAAAGCAACCAATAAGTTTTGAGTAGAGAAATGACATGATCTGATTTAGGTTTTTAGAAAGTCACTTCCACAAAGAAGTCTTTCTGGATCCCCAGGTTGGGTTAGGAGTCACTGCACCGTATATCTGGAACACCCTGTACTTCATTCAGCCATCATGCCCCTCAACAGTGTAGTGTGTCTGCTTGTTTAATGTCTAGTATATTCCTCCCTAGACTGTGAGTTCCACCAGAGTAGGGACAAGACTATCTTGTTCCCTTTCATAACCTCAGGGCATAGTAAAACGTGTTAAATGGAGAAACAACTCTTAGCACCTGCACTATAATCTTCTAAGGGTGTCTCGCCCCTAGTAGGGGCTCCTTCAGGGCCAGAGCCACATGTGATTCATCGTCTGTCTGCCCCATACCCAGTACATATTTAGGAACCAAAAACAATGTCCTGATTTCAAGAAATTAGGTTTCAAGAAATGAAAAAAAAAACTGACTTTACAATCTAGCTGGGAAAGAGAGATCAGGTATCAGTTTCAGGACAGGACAGTGGCACAGTGGCTACGTTACTCATCCCCTCCGAGCCTCCACTCCCCACCTGCTGACGTTACTTCGTGGGAATAGCCGTGAGGATCAAATGAGCTGACACAGATCAAGTACTTAGAACACGACCCAGCACACAGAGAGCACTCGCTGAACGACAGCTTTTATTACAAGCAGAGAGCTGTGGACGGGAATTCTGACTGAGGGGAATTCGGGGAAAGCGCGCTGCTGATACTAATCTACCACGACAATGACAATCTGAGTGTCAGGATCTGCTGACACTCCTTTGCACACATCATCTCGTTCCACACGAGAAAAAACGGAGGCTCGGCACAACTGAGTTCGAGCCGACCGCAGAGCCTGCGCGGGGCGGGCGGGCTGGGCTGGGGCAAGGCACGGACCGCCGTTCAATCCGTGGGGCCCAGATTCAATGCGGGAGTCTCAGGCCCAGCCCGAAGCTCACACTGTAACACTTACACCCTCCCAGCCCGGAGAAACGCGCGCTTCTCACGCACCTTCCATGGGGTCCGCAGGTATCCCAGGAAAGAGACCAGAAGCTCCGCCCACACGCGCCGGAAG